TATCAAGAATAAAACATAATAAAAAGTTAAATATGTTTTAAAATTATATGTAAATCTAACCTAACCTACTTACTTAATGTTTTAGTTAGCAGACTATAATATATCTTTAAGAAAAAAAAAAATCTTCATTATTACTAAACATATTATAATAATATGTACATATAAGTGTTGGGGCTATGAACTTTGGAGTAAAAGTCAAGTTATTTCTCCATCTCAGTTTTAAACCGAGATAATTATGTAATGAGGATGAATCGTTTTTAAATATAGATGAGCCCATTAATATTTAAGATGATTAAAAACGATTTTTTCCTAGAAACAAAATAAGTTTTAAAGCATAAAAATAAGTAAAGTGGTGCAGTCGATTAAATATAATTATTTTATTTGTTGTCGAATCGCTACTTTTTTATATGTACCAAGGACGTAACGTACATATAGGCACCATAAGCGATGATCACATTTATTTATTGAATAATTTTTACACAGTTAAACTGCTTATAAATACATTTTCTCAAAACGCATGCCACGTTGCCACGTGTACGTGGTGTGATAACAATATAATTGTTTAACCTAACCTAATCCAACCTTGAAATTAATGTTATATTAATATATTCTATTTTTTAAGGGAGTAGGTTAGATAAATACCTACGAGTGATACATGATTTATTTACAATTGCGTGAAATTGAAATATTTTTAAATTGCATAAGAAATTAGAATACTATTTTAACCACAAATAAAGAGTTGCGGCATAAACGATGATAAATGGCGATCTATAAAGTTTAATAAAAATATACAACTCCGATATTAATTCGAAAAATAAGTATTTTTTAAAATTTAATTAACGGTTTTCCTTACATTTTAGGTCAATGAAACTTAAGTTGCATGTGTAGTAAATAATGTATCTTAGTTATTATTGGCTAACGCTATATAATTACGTTTATAAATCTGATCTGTACATTATTTACTATAAAACAAAGAAATATAACTAGACATTTTAATTTTATCAGGAAAAAATATAAAACTATTAAAAAAAAAAATTGGTTAGAGTTGCATTAAAAGATTTAAAAGTTAATAGATCAATATTTTCATAGTTCACAATACCTACTTGAATAAGGAACGTTATAAAATCAACTTATTTTCAGTTAAAAATTCCTGAATAATAAATAATAATTATTGAGTGAAACTAATGTTATTAATAATTATGTGTTAAAAGTATTAAAATTTATTAAATAGCAATCATGCTACATTGTTATTGTGGTCAACAAAACATTTTGGCACTAACTGATGATTTTTAAACACAATCACATAATAGGTTATTGATTCAGATATTAAATTAAAATAAATTATACAATTATAATTTCATAATTCGTAAATGTTTTCAATAATTGTCTAAATTTTATAAATAACAATAACTCAGAGTTTTTTGAAATTCCCCGAAGTTTAACAATTTTTAAGGTACTAAACTGGGCACATATAAATACGTTAAACTACGCAAATGTTTAAATTTCATTTGTATACACACTCTGTTAACTGTAATTTTAACAGTTAATATAACTAGTACATTACACAAGTGAGATTAAAAAATATATTAACGGTGAATTATTCAGTTATAATTTGAATACTAATTACACTGGGTTGATTTTAACCGCTCGTTGGTGAAATCATCAAGTATACACAACGACTAGGGAGAGTATAATGATATGAAATAACATAAGGTAAAATCATATAGTTATTGACTTTCGGTTTGAATACAGTGCAGGATGACTGCGATAAATCCAACGAATAACTCGAAAAAAAAAAAAAAAAAAACGAAAAATCTTGGCAAGAACTGAAATCAATAAATGAAAAAAAATAATACTGTCATTACAACAGTTATTGTTATTATTATTTTTATTATTAGAACTGTATTCGACAGCGAGTATAAACCCAATTCACGGGAGAATAACTCATCTCGTGAAACGCACATAGCGAACGGGACACGCGCGTTAAATATGAATTTAAGCGAAGGGCGTCGTTAAAGTGCGTCACACACACGTAGCACAACAACGTATTTACCTCGTATTTACAATATAATAATTATGTTACGGACGTTGGTGATGTGCATGCGTGTGCCGGGCTTTTAGTGACAGGTGATGGACGGGCGGGGACCGCGGGGCAACGTTCACAAACAAAACAAACGGCGTTCAAATGTAAATACAATTCGAAAGCACAAAAACGCTGTTGTATATAAATACATCAGAGTGCAACAAGGTATGCCGTACACGTGGCGACGCGCGTAGCAATGACCGATCGGATACAAACAATTTGTCATCAATATTATTGTACTATTATTTTGATCCCGAAACGCGCAGACCGTTTGCCACACGACAGCGGAGCGACGCGGCAACGCCGGTCAACGCGCGCACAAAGCACGCAGCGACCTTGGAGTCGAACACGCGAACAAAACATACGATTCGCGTAGTACACGTATTATTATTACACGACGTCAACGTGTGCTACTGCACGTGTGCGTTGACCACTGTTATGTTGGGAACTTTTTATTATTTTTGAAAAATACAAAAAAGTATATTACATTGTACGCACGTAACGTACTCGTGTGTTTGGCGAGAGAAAAATAAAATAACGTCATCAGAGACTACGATCAATAATGCTGTTTTAATGGTAACGGTTCGTTCGAACCACTCGCATCTCGCGTCGCGATCGATTATAATCGATAATTGTTCAACGATTTCCATAGGCACACATGATTTTTTTCGAATAATTATTCAAATGATCGACACGCAGGTTTTTACATTCAGAGTGCTACTGTTTGCTATGGGTGGCCTATGTGTAAACAATCTTTGTACTTTTTAGTTTACATACAGGACACTCAAAATGTATAAGTTAATACTATTCATAATTGATAAGTAAGTGCTATTCTTTGTAATTAATACCATGAATAATACGACCAAACAAGAAAATAAATGATCACTTACACTTTCTAAAGACAATCATATACAACAGTAGCTTTGACAGCCAGTGCTTAAAAATTATGTCATTCTAAAGGAAAAGTAAGAACACAGATTGATGGAGTTGAAATTCCTTTTAAGAATTCTGACCTAGTGAATATATTACTTCTTGAAACATATAATTTTTAAAACAAATAAGATAGATAAATTTAAAATGATTACAATTAATGACTTTGAATCTGAGACAATTTAAATCTCATTAAGTTATAATACTATAATGTGTAAGTTAAAGTATCATTAAAATTCAATATTATGCTATTCTAACACAATTAAAATTCAATATTAATAAAAACACAATACATTTTAAACAAAAAGTTGGTTGGTATTTTTTTAATTTATAGATTTGTAGGTATAGATAAACAAAATAAAAATAAAATACCTACATATTATCTAACTATAATTATTCTAAATTGATATGAAAAAATATATCATTAATTAATAAATTAATTGAATCAAAATTAACATTTTTTAATTCATTATTGTTTGCTTGAAAGTAAATGTTAAAAATTAAAAGTATTAAGTAGGGTTTTATTTATATGTGTTGTATTGTAAAAGCAAAGATCTAAAGCTCTTATTTTAAAGATTTTATATTACAACTCAAATATCAAGAATTCTATTGCAACTAAAAATCTAGCTTATAATATAATTAAGTTGGTAAAATGTTATGATTAAAATGTATAATAACAAAACATGGGACCTTTGATTAAAGTAATGCATATTATAAATTGGGCAAAATTTCAATTTTTAAATTCGATACTTGTATAAGACAAAATTATGAATCATAACACGATGAGTATTTACCATTCTAAACAGCAATCTCTTCTTGTATTGAAAATGATAATAACAATAATTAATAAGTATGTTTTGAGAGTAATTTACGATAAAAAAATACTAATAGTAATAAATCTGTTCTACAATAAATTAATACTATTAGTTGTACACATCATAAAATATATATTCTAAATGTATAGCCTCATAAAATATATTATAGTTGCATTAATTATCAAAGCTCCTAATGATAAATATTCAATAACACTCTAACCAGAACTTTTTCTTGAATATATGATTGGTATTAATCCCGAGATAATATCATCAGCATTTATCAATACTCGACCGCATAACATTATATAATTATTAACCCACAATAACACACATTAAAACAGATAAAAAAAAAAAAGAAAAAATTGTTATTAATGTGATAGATACAAACTAAACCAATGAGTCAAACTACACTTATACGTAGTTACCGTATTAACAAATTCCCAAGCTTATAATGATGTATAAGTGCATAGCATTGGATTCGAATAAAACATGGGTAATTAAATATCAAACGAACAATGAAGACGAATACTAAGAAGACGTTTTATTTCGGCTCGCACTTCATAATATTACTCTACGACAGTACGATACCGTTAAATCTTACTTAATTTCAAGCTTGTAGAGAACAGTAATATATTATACTCCTCCAACTTCATATCCATTCGTGTTACCCGCGTGAATAACGTCGAAACAAAGAGCCGAGTATTTTATCGTTACTTTTTAGATAAGACGAGATAAACAAGGTACGGAACACTACTGTTGCATTCCACGAACGGCGTAACAGGTATAATAATAATAATAATAATAATAATAATAGTAATAATACGTCTACAGTGAAAACGAATCATAATAATGTATGTACAAGGGAATTAAACGAAACAGCTGTTTCCGCATCGCGTACCCTGGTCCGTCTTCGGTTCACAATTCCACCACGGCCACGTCACATCGTCATACGGAGTGACGGAAACGGATTAAACGTACACGGCCGAGATACACTACCCCTTCGCCGGGTTCGTGTTTAATAATTCCGTTTCATCGAATGTTATTGCATGATAAATAGTACACGTTTATGACAAAACGTCGAGAAACAATGGGAAATCGTTTTGCCAACGGTTTCCGAACGCAGCCACGTAAGATGAGTATTTCGTGGACACGGTATCCCACGCGATACATACCTCCGAGCGATTCCTCGGCCTGGGACTTTGGTGTGGTAGTCATTGCGCGCGGTCCGACAAAACTGTTCTGCCTCGAAAACCGCGTACGACGGACGGACGGACTTGCCGCTTGTTACACCACGGCGAGTGCGTCGGATCGTTTGCGACGCACCGGTGTGTACACTTACAGCTTTCGAGTCGGTCAGCGAACGGCCACTGGTACGGACCGACGTGAACAATCGCTGCGACGGTCTTCCAATCGATTGTCGCCCGGATGGGCAGTCTCGTTATCACGATCTCACACACACACGCGCGCGCACGCGGCGCCTCACACAACAATAACGTATTAAATCGCTTACTACGGGAGTGTCAACTATTGGGACGGTGTTCCGCGAACGAATGAACGGCAGAAACAGACAACGCTGATATTATACGCGCAACTGAACGTGGCAACGCGACGCTAGCGCGCGCACGCACGCACAAAACCGGCGCACGCACACGTACGCGAAGACACAAAGAAAGGTGTAGTGCGACGCGGGCTCGTCCGTTGTGTTTTTGTTATGATTATCGGACGTGCGGGGTGCGGAGGTCGGTCCGCACCACCACCCTTCACCGAGCCACCGTTGCAAGCGTACGCGCACGCGTGCGACGTGTCAACAAACTTGACGTGACGTCATACGTCTTCCGTGCGCTCGGCGGCCAGCCGCAACGTCCCGCCGCGGACGCAGTGGGGAGTGGCCACGTGCAGTCGGCCACGCGCCACGGCCTACAGTTTCGTAATAATCGCGTATGCGTATATGAGACGTACAAGGCTCGCGGCCGGTGGAACAGCGCAGTGCGGACTGGGACGCGAAATCGTCGCGTGTCGAACTGCACTCGTGACGGCTGGCACGTAAGCGCATCCGAATTAGTCGGCCGCCGAAAGGATTCGCACCGGAACTATTCATCCGTGAGCCCGCGGCGGAATTCGTGTCGCACGTAAGCAGTCCGTCTGCCGGACGCGAATTACTTGAATACGCTACGTACTCGAAAGTATTATCCTACGTGGACGTTACGCCGAGTTCGTGGTATGGTACATTTTGGATAATCAGTAATTCTGGATAATATTAAGTGTACGCGAAAAGCATTTATTTATCGAATCCTTCGTGGAAACGCACACCCATTGGCGAACACCCGTAGAAAAACCAATAAAACGCGTGACTTTGATCATTACAAAGAACCTAGTTGGCCTGGCCAAGGCCGCTAGGCCGTTAACGCGTCCGGGGGTCCATTTCTAAAGTTTTATAAACTATCATAAAAAATCATTGTAATTTATATTTTTTATGGTTTAAATTACTAGTGGCCTTAAGTGATTTTATAATATTTTATAAATACATAAAAGGTATTCATTAATAATTATATTATTCTATTATAATAATAAATATAAATGAAGAATTACTTACTACCACATGGTAAAAATTAATATTTTTTTTTCTCTGTACTTTCGTAGCAGGTAATTTATGGCTTTTGAATCTCTTTTTTCTTCTTGGAAGGAAGGGACTAGACCTGGGACACCCTCTATCGCCACCCTGAAAATATACTGCTGCTAAAAATTATAATATTTTGCACTATTTATTATTTTATAAGATAACATTTTTGAGAGCCCTTCTGCAGAAATGCAACCAAGGACCCTTAAATATCAGACCGACACTGCAAAGGTCTCCCTAAAAATGCTGATCATATAAAAATACCCCTGTACTAGCTACAATAGTTGACGGATACTACATTAGTTTTGACATATAATTATAAATCAGGTATTCTTACTATGTATACGATTTAACATACATGAATAATGAACACAAATATCAATATTATTTACATTTTTTATATTAATTACAACATAATAAAACCCACGTGTCTATAATACGAAACAGAAAGACATCAGTAAAAATTTTATGATAGGCAAACTCAGGGCTGTATTTAGGAATTTGACAACAATAAAAAACGCTTCATTATATTGAATACAAATTTCTGCGGTTGAAAAAGATCTTTCTGAAGAACAATTCGTTGCTCGTGTACACAAAAACATTCTAAGTGCAATGTCAACATAAGGATAAATTTTTTATAAATCTTTGGATCTATCGACAGTACTCGACCATTACCGAGTATGTGTGTGTGTGTCGTGACGCCGTGATTTGCGATATATATATTTTTTTGAGATAAACTTTTATTTTGTAAAGAAGTTTCACTTCAAAAATATTAGATCAATTAATATTAAAAATATAAAAAATTAGCCGCCCTCTCATATTCAGCCGAACGGGGCAACAGCACTCTGTAGCTCCACCCTAAATACGGGCCTGGGCAAAATCAGGCAATGACCACACTTATTATGACGTTGTAATGTACGGGTTTTAGGTGTTATGAATGTTAGGTTGCCTAACATAAAGATTTTTCTGATTCGCGGTCTTATTTCGGCTTTACATTATTATACAGTATTAAAAAATCGTAAGTTTTGTTTTTCTGCACATATTCGCATTTGATTATTTATGTTAACACTAAATAGTTGGATTAATACAGTAAACTATCGGCAGTTCAAAATTCAAGAAAATAGAATAAAAATTCGATTATGAAGGTTTTCGCTTTCGCGAGATTTCGAATATCGAGGAAAAAAAAGACATCACGCTCAATCAGCGATGAACATTTTTAATGCAATACATGTATATTATTTTATTTTATTCAATGTAATATTTTGAATATATATACTCGGGATATATTACTTACAATTGTCTTATTTATGTATTATACATTTAATTAAAGCGGGTTTACAGAAACGTTGGGCAACATATTTTTTCACCAGTAATGAATGCTTTTTTTAACGTTACACTAATTATTACACTAATAATTACAAGACTTATTTTCAGACCGACTAAGTTTTACCTTATTACAATTAGCATATTGATGAAAATGAAAGAGGGTGATTAGTGATAAATAAGTACGACTGGAGTCGAATACAGAAAATTGCGAAATTGTAAAATAAATGTACAGAAAACTACGATAAGTTAAATCAAATGATAATAATGATAATATTATACCTAACACCGCTGTCGTTATTTTTCAATGCTAAAATTACTTATGTATATAAATTACGTATGTCGAACAATACTTCTAATTTCATTTGAACTAAAATTAATAAATTCGAATGGTCAAAAATATTCGAATTGGAGAGTGTAGTTGTATCACACTTTATTATTTTTGATTCATCGAGAGAACCGAAATACATATCTTATCCAGTTATAGAGGTTTTTTAGAAAGTTAAGCGTTTAGTTAGATTTCAAAGGGTTTTTTAATCATTGAACGCTTAAGAATAGAAAGATAAAATGTTGGCTTATAACAAAACAGTCTTACGAATCGAACAAAAGTATTGTGTATGTGTAAAATTCATTTTTACAACATTATCTTCAAATTTTAAATATACTTTGTAAATATTAATATAAATTATATTATAAATAATAAACACACGTATGTTGTGGTAAATCATTGTGTACGTGATTATTACACTGAACCTTATTCTGAAAAAAACTCATCAAAACGCGAATAATATAGTGTATGATAATTCAATTATATGTAAGACTAGTAAAGATGAACCCATCTTACATTGTTTTTGAATAATCAAAGCTATTTAAAACGCAGAATTACATTGACTGGCGATTTCAACTATAGATTCTATAGTTTGAAAATACAATAAAACAGCAACAATTTACTATAAGTATATAACAAAAAGGCTTTGGTTCGTAAGTAATCACATAATAAAAATATACATACATAATCATTATACTGGTGTAGTACGTTCTATTTACAAGATAAATTTTAATGTCATGGAATTTCTTACGTAAAATATGTTTCTAAAAACTTTTGCAGACAGGGCCGGCAGTCGCCTAGAACACCATATTCAGGGGGACGCCAAAACTGTTTTTTTTTTTACAATTTTGCTCATAATGTCAGTAATATTCTTTTTATTTTTTTTTTTAATGTAAAATACCTATAACTTTGTATTGAAATATTGATAATAATTATTGTTATTTCGTATACTAAAATAATTTAAGTATATTTTAAGTATATTTATTATGGTTTGCCGTAGAATGTTTTATCTTATATTTTGCTATAATTCCCAAATATTTGTTATCGTTCAATCGGGATCGCATCGAGTTGTCGTGACTCATGACAAAAAAATTAAACTATAACAAATGATGTACAAGTTGAGCATAATATATCATTTTTTCTAAGTATAATTATTAATAATTATATAACTGGTTGTTGTATGATAAAGGCATCAGTTGGCATTTTGGCCTCGGGTGTCATTTAGCTTTATGCTGGCCCTGTTTGCAGTTCATGATAGATATTGTTTTTTTAATCTGTGTTTTTAGACATTCCAAGGATTTGATAGTTGGGGTAGAAGGGGTAAGGTTTAGCTACTCAATAAAGCAATTTTGTAAGTAATAAATATTTAAAAAAATGTACTCGCTGCATTCGGATTCTAATAAAATAAATTCGTGTACCTAATAACAATGAAACTTGCTACAAGTGGCGTATCCAGGGGGGTTATGGGGTTGTAACCCCCCCACCGAAAATTATTCAATGTTTAATTAATTTAATGATCGATCGATACATCACGCGACACTCAGCGGCCAGCGGTCCCCATTATGTATACGACATATAAAACTGACCAGCAATTACCATTACATTACTCCTGCTAACCCTAATTACATGATAGTATGATACAGAATCAGAGTTGGGCATTAGTCGAATAAAAAAATATTCGATTGATTATTTAAATAAAAATGTATTTTTATTGTTTTACTGGTTTAGTAACATTTTTATAATTAATTTAAAATAAAGTCTGACATAACTTGAAGTAGCTATATTATAAGTGCTGAAATTTTATTCAGTATAGTATTAACTATTATTATTTTTGTCACAATTATTATTAATATTATATAAATTATTGTTCTTATAATTATTTGCTTTGTTATGAATATATTTTTATCATAATTTTGTTACACAAAAATTAGATATTATTCATTATTTATTTTATTAATTTCTTTAGAATAATCAATTTATTCACAAGTTAAATTATTCGCAGTAAATTTTATTTTTTATTCACAAGTTGAATTATTATTTAGAATCATTTTTATTTTTCATCCACAACTAAAACTATTTAAAATAAAATATTATTTTTTACTCACAAAATAATTAATTATTTACGATTTTATTTTTATTCATAATTTTGATTTGTTTTTGCGCAACTCTGGACAGAATACAGATAATATAATAATAAAACCGATTTCCGGCTTTTACGATTGCGATATCGATATCTAATAATAAAACATATATACGTATACGTATAAATAGTACAAACTATAATCCCCAATGTATTTTTACATTCTTAGTGCATTTTCGAATACTTCAAGAACTTCAACCAGCCATTTTACATGTACTAGATAAAATTACACTGGACAGATTCTGTCACTGCT